TTCTGTGTTTTACCATTGTGCAGTACATTGGCTATGGCCTTTATTATGTTGTAGTAGATTCCTTTTAAGTCTTGTTAAGAGCATTTTTTTTTTTTTAAAGATCGATTTATTTAAGCATACAAGAACTGGAGTACAGAGGTACGGAGGAGGGAGGCAAGAGAATTCACCAGAGATAGAGTGGGAGGCAGAACGGGCAGATCAATGGATAGAACTCTGCTGAGGGGAGCAGCAGGCAGGTCAGGAGAGGTCTGCCTCGCCATTTGGGTCACCTCCCTGGCTGGGAATTGAACACGTGCTGCAGTGGCTCCAGGTAGTTTCATAGTGCTGTGCTTAAACCAGTTGCGCTACCAGAGAGGGCCCCTTGTTAAGAGTTTTTATAATAAATGGGATCAATCTTGTCAAATGTTATTATGTAATTTTTATCTTTTCTTTTGTAGGTGTAATATGTTGATTGATTTAGGCCTATTAAGCCATTCTTGCATCCATAAATTCTGTTATCACAATATATATCAGTGTAATGTATTGTCGAATTCTATTTGATAGTAATGGGTTGAAGATTTTTGCATCAATATTCATCAGGGTCTGTAGTTTTTACTTTTTTTTATTGAGTTGTTTTGGTTTTAACATCAGAGGACTGTTTAATACCTTATTTTATCTTAACTTACCAGCTGTGTGGTCTTAGATAAGTGACTTAATCTCTATAAGTGTCAGTTTCTTCAAATTAAATTGGAGGTAGTGAAAATAAAGTATCACATTAGATTTTAGTAAAATTAGTGTTGATTTGATAATCAGGTAAATTGGGAAATATCAAATCAGATAATATAAAGGTTTTAGGAAATAGAGTTTAGTAAATAACTATTATGATTCTTATTTTGGCACATTACATCTTTATTTTTGTGTCTTTGAGCAACACATCACTTTCCTTCCCACCGGTACTTATTTAGAGATTTGTTATCCCATGTCCACAATGAAGATTTACAGTTATTTAGAACATTTAGTTTTGCTTTAAATTCATAGCAAAAAGCCTTCAGGTACATATGCAATTAGCAGAAGTCACAGAAGGCACCAGCAAAAGCTGTTGCAGAAGGAGAAGTGGTATATGGGCTTCCTTTTTGACTTAAGTTGCATGAAGGTTACTGCTGCATTAGGAGGTAGTCAGTTTGGTCAGGTGTTAAAATAGGCCGGGAGTGAGGTGGGCATAGGCAAGGCTGGCTCCCCAGAGCAGGGGCATTTGGAGCTTAGTTTGGATATATGAGGTCAGAATCTGTGAAGAGAAAGGGAAAAGGTGAGTAATGAATGTTTAGGAAAGGAAAACCTCATCAGGAGACAGTTGCCAAAAATGAAACTGGGGACCCTCCTGATAGTGGGAACAGGTTAAAGCACAACACTATGAAGCTATCTGCAGCCACTACAGCGCGAATTCCATCCCTGGCCAGGGAGGTGACCACATGGACCACATCCCCTCAGCAGTGGATTTCAGTGGATCTGCCTGTTCTGCTCCCCACTCTGTCTCTGGTGAATCCCCTCACCCCCTGTTCCTCTGGCCTGCACCCCAGTCCTTGTATGCATAAATAAATAAACCTTTTTAAAAAATGAAACTGGCTTGAGGCATATGCTCTGCACTTCTCACCTATTTTTATCTGTCATGACAATAAATTCTGACCAAGGGCAGCAACTGAGCTAAAGTAACCTGTCATTGTCTGCAGAGAGAACTGACTTTCTAGTTTCTTCATAGGAAGGCATAACATATATCTTTCTAATGTTTTGGTTTACAGATTCAATTTTTGCAAGTTTAATTTTGTCTCTCAAGAGGTGAAACTAAAATCAGGAAGTGCTAACACTAGGCAGTGGTGTGCCAGTAACTGGAGAGATAGTTGGCTAGAAAACATTCAGTGTTTACTACTCAATAAAAGTGATGGCATGAAAGGCTAGGCCACTGGGATGTGGCTTGACCTACACACAGAAATATAAATAACCAGAGAAGTGAGTGAAACTTGTATTTTCTGACAAAAGTTCATTAATATTGTTTCTGTCATTGGTACTCCTGATAAAAGTGGCCAGCAGGGAATTTGAGATAACATTTTCTGTTGGTGCTATAGATTTCTATTAAGGTAATTGAAAATAACCATATTATGAGAGGTATATTTAATATCAATATGTAAAGAGGAAGTTTGAAGAAACTTTTTTTTTTTTTTTTTTTACAATTTGATAGTGTTCTAATTCCTTACTGTTGCCAATGTCATATTAATCGGACACCTACCTTGGGCTCAGACCTGCTTGGAGTGCACCTTCAAACTCATCCTGAATGCTTTCTAGTGGCTTCAGAACTTCAACATAGTTTGGTTTCAAAACCCTTCAGCTTTCTTTCAGCCGTGTGCAGAACTCTGTGAAGAACTATAGGAAATTGCAAAATAAAATTTTAAGAAGTCATTTCTGAACTTAAGGACCTTACACAGCGTGACCATGCTGGGGGACATGGGGAAACATTTTTGCTTCTGCATATTTTGAATCATGAGTTGAATGGGACTTCCCACAGGGGCTGTGGATACTCCTGTACCATCAAGACAGTGGAAACAGGCTTGTGATGGGTTTTCTTGCTAGGATGACCAGCAGGATATAGCAGGATAGAGGATATAGTCCTTGACCTTCCAAGGAATTGACTCAGAATACACTGAGCCATATTTAGGTTTCCTGGGTGTCAAATGTACACCAACAACAAAATCATAAATATCTGAAGAGGAACTAAGCAAAACAAGTTTAGAAACTATTCAAACAGTCACTGAGAAAGTGAATAAATGTGCTGTATTGAATTAGAGTCAGTAGAAATAGTTGTTAGGGGAATCATTATGGAGATAAATTTGAGTCGACTTTTTTAAGCAGGATATAAATTTCAGGTTAATAGGAAAAAAGGCATTACATATATCATCAATGCTTACAGTGCATGCTGGGCAGAACACTGAATCTCCCCCCTCCAAAAGAAAAAAAAAAGATATCTTGTCCTAATCCCTGGATCTCCTGGATCTCTGATTGTTACTTTGTATGATAACAGAGATAATGCAGAAAACATTAAGGTTAAGCTGTTGGTGGCAGATTATCCAGAATTGCATGGTTGTGTCCAACCTAATTATATGCATCCTTAAAACACAGAGAAATTTTCCTGGCTTATATTTAGGTCAGATGGAGATATGACTACACAAAAATGGTCAGAGAGGGATGCAGTTGCTGGATTTATACATGAAAGAAGAGGGCAGTGAGCGAAGGAATATGGGCTGCCCCTAGCAGTTGGATAAAGAATGGCTTCCTAGAGTTTCTGGAAAGTAACAATTGTGCTGATGATGCCAATTGATTTTAGTCCTGTGAGACCTTTGCTGGACTTCTAACCTACAAACTGTAAAATAGTAAGTTTGAATTGTTTTAAGCTACAAGTTTGTGGTAATTTGCTACAGGAATAATAGAAAACTAATACAATGTAGGACAGTAATATGAGGTAGTCACTATAGATGACTCTATTTATAGATGGGAAAACTGAAATATAGAGGGGCTAGGTTCTTGCCCAATGTCCAACAACTGTGAAGTGAAAGAGCCAGGAATCACACTGAAGACACTTGCCAGAATTTATGCTTTTACCTATTACTCAGTACCCCTCCCAGGATTTTTGTGTGGCGAGGATGGAGGCTGTAGGAAAAGTTCATTGAAGGAGAAGAGTTACACAGCTGGATAGTTAAGAACTTGGTTGATAAAAGGGAAGTTCGCAGCCCTGAATTAGTGGAGACAAGAAAATAGTCGCCCCTCCAGGCTCTGTTCATGCTCTCTCCTATTAATCATTCTCGGTGTTGCTTTGATGGGGGCAAACCTGCTTACTCAGCTTCCCACAAACCTGTCATTAAACAAGTTTCCTCTACACTAGTAATTTTGCCCAAGACAACCCGCCTCACTTTCCCATCTTGCAGAGGCCCACTCTCAACAATATTTGCCCTTCTTCCTCCCAGCAACAGCGACTTGGCGCTTTTGGGTTCCGAGACTGGCATGAAATCATGGCCCTAGGCCTCTCTTGTATTTTTGCTATGAGCTGTCTAGATTTTCGTCATATAATTTTTGTGATGTTTAAGGATATAGATTAAAGCCGGTCACTAGGGGCCACAGGGACGAGCGGCAGGGGAGTGGGAAGGTCGCGTCTCGAGCCCTCGTCACCAAGGTCAGGTGCGGGTGTCCGCCCCGGGCCCGGAGCGCGCGGGTGCTCCGCGTCCCCCGTGCCCCGCGCGTTCCCGC